CTTTCACCATAACTGAGACAATAGGTAGATAATAGCTAAATTAGTAAAAATAATTAGGGACTAATGGGTTTGGAGTCTTTTTATCATTTTTATTTTATTTATTTATTTTTGAGACATGGTTGACCCCAGCCTCAACCTCCCAGGCTCAAGTGATCCTCCCACCTTAGCCTCCTGAGTAGCTGGGACTATAGGCACTCACCACTATGCCCAGCTGATTTTTTTTTTTTTTTTTGAGATGGAGCCTTGCTCTGTCACCCAGGCTGGAGTGCAGTGGTGTCATCTCTGCTCACCACAACCTCTGTCTCCTGGGTTCAAGCAATTCTCCTGCCTCAGCCTCCAGAGTAGCTGGGATTACAGGTACGTGCCACCACGCCAGACTAATTTTTTGTACTTTTAGTAGACAGGGTTTCACCATATTGTCCAGGCTGGTCTCAAACTCCTGCCTTTGTGATCTGCCTGCCTCAGCCTCCCAAAGTGCTGGGATTACAGGCGTGAGCCACCACGCCTGGTCATACCTAGCTGATTTTTGTATTTTTGTAGAGATGGAGTTTCACCCTGTGGCTCCGGTTGGTCTCAAACTCCTGGTTTCAAGTCATCTGCCTACCTTGACCTCCCAAAGTGCTGAGATTATAGGTATAAGCCACCGTGCCCAGCCAAAATAGTTTATTTAAATGTAAATTTGCATAGTTTAATTTTTACTTTATTTAGTACCCTAATCCCATGACACATTATAATTATTTTCTTTTTTAAAAAAATTGAGATATGTTCTTGCTCTGTTCTCCCAGGCTGGAGTGCAGTGGTACAATCATAGCTCACTGCAGCCTGGACCCTCCAGGCTCAAGTGATGCTACCTAAGCCTTCCGAGTAGCTGGGACTAGAGATGCACACCACCATGCCTGGCAAATTTTTTAATTTTTTTGTAGAGACTGGGGTCTCCCTATGTTGCCTAGGGTGGTCTCGAATTGGGCTCAAGTGATCCTCTCACCTTGGCCTCCCAAGGTGCTAGGATTACAGGTGTAAGCCACCACATGCAGCTATAATTTAATATTATAATTTACTATTTAATGATCAAGTTTAACAACCAGCTCTTAAGATTCCTGAAAATGCAACAGTCAACTCTCACCAAGCTGATACAAGCCAGTTCCAGCACAGCACTGAACCTAGATCACTTGGTCCTGGGGCTTTCAAACCCTTCTGTTTCCTCCAGCCTCAGGGCTCCCACGCATCTAGCTTGGGTTTCCCTCACCTCTCTCTAGCCTGGGTTTCCCCCTAGTGGACAGAAGAGTTATTTCCAGGTGATTCTCTTGCTCCACCTGTGCCCAGAGCTCACTCAGTACCCTAAGAAAGGTGCAGAAGAAGTTTGTCATCACTCCTCCTTAAGACCTTAAGGGGCTGCTCTGCCTATGGGGTAGCCATTCTTTTATTCCTTTGTCTTCTTGATAAACTTGCTTTCACTTAAAAAAAAAAGTTCCTTAAGGAGGGTACATACAGTCTCACAATTGCCCTCAAGCACAAGATACTTAGTGTTATGTCCCTGTGAGGGGCAGTGCCAGGAGGGCCCCCTCGGATTTAGTCATTATCACAATCTCCAGAGCTGCTCAGAAAACACATTTCATCCTCCGTATGGCAGCTCAGGCTGGCTATATCAGCCCTTCAGGTTTGGGGAACACTCTGCCCGCCCCCCCCCACCACCTACAATCAACTCTATTTCTAAGAAAATAACCTGGAAGACTTAGTTTGTGTTAGGAATTAAGCTCTCATCCAATTCATAGCCCACTGGGGAAACACTGATGGAGACCATTCATAAGTTGGGTACGGATGAAACCATGGAGTGTGTTAGATGCAGATCTGGAGCTCAGGATACCACATCCTGCATTACACTTCTCTCAGAAGTGACTTTTCCAAAGGACAGATCTATCTGTCACTCTTCTGCTCACAAGCCTACCATGATTCTCCAATGCTTTCAGCTTTAGTCCAAGCTCCATAGCCAGGCTTTCAGGGCCTTGGCAGGGACCTCACACAGATTGCGTTCCTTAAATGTCCAAAGAAAAGAAGAAAACTGGCATTTTTGGAATTCTCTTCTGTTCCAGGCACTGTGCTAAAACTTTGCAAACAGTTTAATTTAATTATCCAATAATGCTCCTAAATAGGAAAAACCACTCTACAGATGAGAAAACTAAGGGTTAGTACAAGCCTGCTCAGCGTGACACTGCTTCAAACAGAAGTTTTTCCTTCAACCCACCTCTCTTTATTTTTTTATTTATTTTTATTTTTATTTTGAGAGAAGGAAAGAAAAAAAGGAGTGAAGGAGAGGAAGAAAGAGGAAGAAAAAGAGGGAGAGAGAAGGGAAATGTTGCTTTATTCTAAAAAAAAAAAAATGGGTATTAATAATGGCCAATCAATGTTTCATTTAAACCTATGAGTAGGTGTGATGTGGTATTGACAAGAAAGTATATTTTGTGTATTTAAAGTGGGGAGCTCTATAAATATTTATTAAGTTTACTTTTTCCGGATCTGAGTTTGAGTCCTTGATATTCTTATTAATTTTCTGTCTTGTTGAGTCTAAGTCTCTTTATAGGTCTTATGTATCTGGGTGTTAGGATCATTAGTTCTTCTTGTTGCATTGATCCTTTTACCACTATATCTTTGTTGCTTTAAGATCTATTTTATCCACTACGAGAATTGCAACTCCTGCTTTTTATTTATTCATTTAATTTTGCTCTCCATTTGGTTGGTAAATCTTTCTCCATCCCTTTGTTTTGAGTCTTTGTGTATCCTTGCAAGTGAAATGGGTCTGGATGTAACATGCCGTTGGGTTTTGGCTGTATCTTTTGATTGGGGGATTTAGTCGATTTAAATTTAGGATTACTGCCATTTGATGTTAACTGGCTGTTTTATCCATTCATTGATGTAAATTCTTCTTTATGTTGATGCTCTTTACTTTTTGGTATATTTTTAGAAAGGCTAATACTGGTTGTTTCTTTCTATGTGTAATGCTTCTTTCAGAAGCTCTTGTAGAGCAGGCCTGGTGGTAATAAAATCTCTGAGTACTTGCTTGTTCATAAAAGATTTTATTTTTCCTTCAGTTGTGAAGCTTAGTTTGGCTGGATATGAAATTCTGGGCTGAAGGTTCTGTTCTTTGAGGATGTTGAATATTGGCCCCCACTCTCTTCTGGCTTGTAGAGTTTCTGCTGAGAGATCTGCTGGAAGTCTGATAGGCTTCCCTTTGTGGGTAACCTGACCTTTCTCTCCGGCTGCCCTCAGTATTTTCTCCTTCGTTTCAACGCTGGTGAATCTAACGATTATGTGCCTTGGGGTTGCTCTTCTTGAGGAATGTCTTTGTGGTGTTCTCTGTATTACCTGGGGTTGAATATTGTCCTGCTTTGCTAGTTTAGGAAAATTTTCTTGAATAATATCCTGAAGAATATTTTCCAGCTTGGATTCATTCTCTCCGTCGCATTCAGGTACACTTATCAAACGTAAATTTGGTCTTTTCACATAGTCCCACATTTCTTGGAGACTTTGCTCATTCCTTTTTATTCTTTTTTCTCTAATCTTGTCTTCTCGTTTTATTTCATTAAGTTGGCTTCGACCTCTGATATCCTTTCTTCTGCTTGAACAATTCAAGTTTAAACCTGTGCATACTTCTCGGAGTTCCTGCATTGTATTCTTCAGTTCCATTAATTCACTTATATTCCTCTCTAAGTTGTCTATTCTCATTAGGATTTCGTCAAACCTTTTTTCAAAGTTTTAGTTTCTTTACACTGGGCTACAACATGTTCTTTTAACTCACAGAAGTTTCTTATTATCCATCTTTGGAAGCCTGATTCTGTTAATGGGATGCGCTCATTCTCCATCAAGTCTTGCTCCCTTGTTGATGAGGAACTGTGATCCTCTGTAGAGGGAGAGGCATTCTGACTTTGAGTATTCTCAGCCTTTTTACACTGGTTTCTTCCCATCATTGTAAATTTATCCACCTGTCATCTTTGTAATTACCAACTTTCAAATTAGGTCTTTGAGTGGACATCCAAGTTGTTAATACCCAGGGCCGAAATTTGAGCAACCCACTGCGCCGGCCAAAACAGCGGCGTTAAGACTGATGGTGCTTTTCTGCCTGGGAATCTTCAGTCTGGCTTCCTTCTTGAGTCCGTAATAGGTGACTCTGCCTTCCCAGAGCTCCAAACGTCGGTCAGAAGGGGAACCAGTCCCGTTTACTCTGCACTGTGAGCTGCCACACTGAGGTGCTGACAAAACTGCTGCGCCAGCCACAAGAGTCACACTGGCAACCTGTGGAGCTCCTCCACTGGGAATCTTCTGCTCCGTGAGTGATCAAAATTTGTCTGAAAGTGTGGTGTCCTCTCGTTGTCTGAACTTTCGCTGGGAGCTGCAATCCCTAGATGTAAGCGATCAGCCATCTTGGATCATTCCCCTATTTTTTTATTTTTATTTTTTGAGACGGAGTTTTGCTCTTGTTGCCCAGGCTCGAGTGCAATGTCGCAATCTTGGCTCACTGCAACCTCCGCCTCCCAGATTCAAGCAATTCTTCTGCCTCAGCCTCCTGAGTAGCTAGGATTACAGGTGCCCACCACCACACCCAGCTATTTTTTTGTATTTTTTTTTTTTTTTTTTTTTTAGAAATTTGATGTTTATTTTCCATGAATCTTTTATGTTGTTTAAGAGACCACATGGCTGGGTGCAGTGGCTCCCACCTATAATTCCAGCACTTTGGGAGGCCGAGGCGAGTGGATCATGAAGTCAAGAGATCGAGGCCATCCTGGTCAACATGGTGAAACCCTGTCTCTACTAAAATACAAAAATTAGCTGGGCATGGTGGCGCACGCCTGTAGTCCCAGCTACTTGGGAGGCTGGGAGGCTGAGGCAGGAGAATTGCTGAAACCCAGGAGGCGGAGGTTGCGGTGAGCCAAGATCGTGCTATTGCACTCCAGCCCGGGTAACAAGAGTGAAACTCCATCTCAAAAAAAAAAAAAAAAAAAAAGAGGCCACACAAGAACAGCTTAAGACCATTCAGTAGTTGCCCCTACTCATTCAGTGGCCTGAGCAGTGGAAGCTGCAGACCAGTCTTCCGTGGCAGGCTGGGCACTCCAGTCTTCAGTAGGGAACTGCTGGATAGGCACAGAAGGCACCTGCATGCCTTCAGACCAGTCAGCAACCTCAGGCTGAGTAGTAGTAAACTCAGGAGCTGGAGCAGTCCATTCGCCCTGAAATTCCTCCTTGGTCACAGCCTTTTCAGCAGCAGCCTGCTCTTCTTTTTCAATCTCTTCAGGATCTCTGTAGAAGTAGAGATCAGGCATGACCTCCCACGGGTGTTCATGGGAAATGGTGCCACGCATGCGCAAAACTTCCCGAGCCAGCATCCACCACATCAAACCCACTGAGTGAGCTCCTTTGTTGTTGCATGGGATGGCAATGTCCACACAGCGCAGAGGAGAATCTGTATTACACAGAGCAATGGCAGGTAGTTTAATATAAAACGCCTCTGTGAGAAGCTGGTGGTCAGCCCTTGGGTCAGTAACCACAAGCAGCCGTGGCTCCGGGAAGGCTGCCTGGATCTAGTTGGTAAAGGTTCCAGGAGTGAAGCGGCCAGCAATTGGAATGGCTCCAGTGTCAGGAGCAAACTTCAGCACGGCCCTCTGGCCAGTATTCCTGGAGGATATAACACTGACATCAGCAGGGTTTTCAATGGCAACAATGGCATGAGCTGTCAGGAGAAGCTTCTCCCAGGTCCTCTTTAGATTTATGATGTAGATGCCATTACTTTTCCTTTTATAGATATACTGTTCCATCTGGAAGTCAAGGTTGGTGCCACCTAAATGGGTTCCTGCTGCCAGGAACTTAAGGACATCCTCCTCCATTTGCAGGACATCCAGGGCTCCGGACATTGTGAAAGTTTCCCTTTAAGTTATGATGGGAATCCAGAACAACGCCATATAGAGCCCTTGGCAGGTAGTGCGGAAAGGCTAATTTTTCTATTTTTAGTAGGGGCAGGGTTTCGCCATGCTGGCCAGGCTGGTCTCAAACTTCTGACCTCAGGTAATCTACCGGTCTCGGCCTCTCAAAGTGCTGGGATTACAGGTGTGAGCCACTGCGCCCAGCCTGTTCTTGAAAGCTGCTCTTTTCTCTCTAAGACTGGCCCCTTCCCCAGGTTGGCTGTAGAGGGAGATGCAAGGTCTCCTGAACCCTTTTTTCACTGAACCTAAAGCAATCCCTTAGGGGTTTAAGGAAAGGACAGCTTTGGAGTGAAACCCAAGCCAAGGTAACAGAGCCACAGATGTAGGATAAGACACCAGATTTTTTTTTTTTTTTTTTTTTGGAGACAGAGTCTTGCTCTGCTGCCAGGCTGGAGCACATTGGCGCAATCTCGGCTCACTGCAACCTCCGCCTCCTGGATTCAATCGATTCTTCTGCCTCAGCCTCTGGAGTAGCTGAGACCACAGACGCATGCCACCATGCCCAGCTAGTTTTTTTTTGCATTTTAGTAGAGACAGGGTTTCACCATGTTGGCCAGGATGGTCTTGATCTCTTGACCTTGTGATCCGCCCACCTCGGCCTCCCAAAGTGCTGGGATTACGCATGAGCCACCTCACCCAGCCAAGAAACCAGATTTTACCTCTGGTTAACTTCTTCTGGGGCTGGCTCCAGAGCCCTTCCTCTTCCTACCTCCCCATTCCCTAGATCTTTTTTCTCCTCTTCTCCCATCTTCACCTTTTTACTTCCACTAAAATCCTAGACATCTTATGATCAGATCAAATTTCCCTGCTCCAGAATGCCCTCTCAGACCACTTGGCTCAGGAATCTGCCTAATGAAAGTAAGAATTGTTGGCCAGGTGAGGTGGCTCACGCCTATAATCCCAACACTTTGGAAGGTCAAGGGAGGGGGTGGTAGATCACCAGGTCAGGTGTTCAAGACCAGCCTCGCCAAGATGCTGAAACCCTGTCTCTACTAAAAATACAAAACTTAGCCGGGAGTGGTGGTAGGTGCCTATAGTTCCGGCTACTGAGGAGGCTGAGGCTAAGGCAAAGAATTGCTTGAACCCGGGAGGTAGAGGTTGCAGTGAGCCAAGATTATGCCACTGCACTCCAGCCTGGGCTACAGATTGAGACTCCATCTCAAAAAAAAAAAAAAAAAAAGGTAAGAATCGTTACAGTTTAAAAAGAAGAAAAGGCTGGGTGCACTGGCTCATGCCTATAATGCCAGCACTTTGGGAGGCCGAGGCCAGTGGATCACGAGGTCAGGAGATCAAGACCATCCTGGCCAACATGGTGAAACCCGGCCTCTACTAAAAATACAAAAATTAGCCAGGCATGGTGGAGAATCACTTAAACCCAGAGGCAGAGGTTGCAGTGAGCTGAGATCATGCCAGTGCACTCAAGTCTGGGCAACAGAGTGAGACTCCATCCCAAGAAGAAAATAAACAAATAAATAAATAAATGGAAAAACAGCCCAGGCACAGTGGCTCACACCTGTAATCCCAGCATTTTGGGAGGCCGAGACAAGTGGATCATTTGAGTCCAGAAGTTCAATATCAGCCTGGCCAACATGGTGAAACCCTGCCTCTACTAAAAATATAAAAATTAGCTGGGGGTGGTTCTGTGTGCCTATAGTCCCACCTACTTGGGAGGTTGAGGTAGGAAGAGGGCTTGAGCCTGAGAGGTAGAGGTTGCAGTGAGCCGAGATTGCACCACTGCACTCCAGCCTGGGTGTCAGAGCAAGACCGTATCTCAATCAATCAATAAATGGAAGAGCAAATTCCTGGCTAAATATGAAGATTGTTCACATGTGTTTATCTCCACTCACTCCTGAAATTCCACTAAAATGATAGCAAGTGAATTAGAAAAAAATTTTTTTAATTTACAAGCACACACACACACACACACACACACACACAAAAGGAACACTGAGTGCGGTGACTTACACCTGTAATCCCAGCACCTTGAAAGGCCAAGGTGGACAGATCACCATAGGTCAGGAGTTCAAGACTAGCCTGACCAACATGGCAAACCCTGTCTCTACCAAAAATACAGAAAATATTAGCCAGGCATGGTGGTGGGCACCTGCAATCCCAACTACTCGAGAGGCTGAGGTAGGAGAATCACTAGAACCCGAGAGGCAGAGGCTGCAGTGAGCCGAGATGGTGCCCAGCCTGGGTGATAGAATGAGACTCTGTCTCAAAAAAAAAAAAGAAGAGAAATAATAGGCCTGGCGTGGTGGCTCATACCTATAATCCCAGCACTTTAGGAGGCCGAGGCGAGTGTATAACAAGGTCAAGAGATCGAGACTGTCCTGGTCAACATGGTGAAACCCCGTCTCTACTAAAAATACAAAAATTAACTGGGCATGGTGGTGCATACCTGTAGTCCCAGCTACTTGGGAGGCTGAGGCAGAAGAATTGCTTGAACCCAGGAGGTGAAGGTTGCCGTGAGCCGAGATCGAGCCATTGCACTCCAGCCTGGGTAATAAGAGAGAAACTCCGTCTCAAAGAAAAAAAAAAAAAGAGAGAGACAACCCACAGAATGGGAGAAAATATTTGCAAACTATGTATCTGATAAGTCTCTGGTATCCAGTTTTATCCCCACTGACAGTTCTTGAGTGGCTCTTTAAAATATATAAAATTTTAAAATTTTATAAAAAGAGTCTAGTATCTAGACTATATAATAAATTCTTACAACAAAACAACAAAAAGACAGCTAAGTTAAAAAATTGGCCAAGCGGCCAGGTGTGGTAGCTCACACCTATAATCCCAGCACTTTGGGAGGCCCAGGCAGGAGGATCCTTTAAGGCCAAGAGTTCAGGACCAGCCTGAGCAACATATAGAGACCTCCTTTCTACAAAAGATCAAAAGATTAGCTGGAGCCAGGCATGGTGACTCACACCTGTAATCCCAACACTTTCAAAGGCTGAGTCGGGTAGATCATTTGAGGTCAGGAGCTGGAGACCAGTTTGGTCAACATGGTGAGACCCCAGTCTCTACTAAAAACACAAAAATTAGCCGGGCGTGGTGGTGTGCACCTGTAATCCCAGCTACTTGGGAGGCTGAGGTAAGAGAATCACTTGAACCAAGGAGGCAGAGGTTGCAGTGAGCTGAGATTGAGTCACTGCACTCCAGTCTGGGCGACAGAGTCAGACTCCATCTCAAAAAAAAAAAAAAAAAAAAGAAGAGGTGGCTGGGCAATGTGGCTCTGTAATCACAGCACTTGGGGAGGCCGAGGTGGGTGGATCATGAGATCAGGAGTTTGAGACCATCCTGGCCAACATGGTAAAACCCCGTCTCTACTAAAAATACAAAAATTAGCTGGGCATGGTGGTGTGCACCTGGAGTCCCAGCTACTCGGGAGGCTGAGGCAGAAGAATTGCTTGAACCCGGGAGGTGGAGGTTGCAGTGAACCAAGATTGTGCCACTGCACTCCAGCCTGGCACCTGGCGACAAAGTGAGACTCCATCTCAAAAAAAAAAAGAGGAGTCAAACTTCCAATCCTCTTTTTTTTTTTTTGAGACACAGTCTCACTCTGCCACCAGGCTAGAATGCAGTGGTACGATCTCGGCTCACTGCAAACTCCACCTCCCTGGTTCCATCAATTCTCCAGTCTCAGCCTCCCGAGTAGCTGGGATTACAGGCACGCACCACCACACCTGGCTAATTTTTGTATTCTTAGTAGAGACGGGGTTTCACCATGTTGGCCAGCCTGGTCTCAAACTCTTGACCTCATGATTCATTCGCCTCAGCCTCCCAAAGTGCTGGGATCACAGGCGTGAGCCACTGCACCTGGCCTATTTTTGTATTCTTTTGTAGAAACAGGGTTTCACCATGTTACACATGCTGGTCTTGAACTCCTGGGCTCAAGCAATTTGCCCACCTTGACCTCCTAAAGTGCTGGGATTACAGGCAACAGCCACTGCACCCCGCCTGAATTGCACACTTTAAATTGTTAAAATGTTAAATTTTATGGCATGTGAATTTTCCCTCAATTTTTAAAAAAAGAAAAGGAAGAGGATACAACATTAATTGACAGATATCTATAAACCTTGTGAAGCTTAAAAGCAGACAGATAAGGGCTGGCTGATTTAGCAAAAGGTCAGGAGTTCGAGACCAGCCTGGCCAACATGGTGAACCCCCGTTTCTACTGAAAATAAGAAAATTAGCTGGGTGTGATGGTGGATGCCTGTAATCCCAGGTACTCTGGAGGCTGAGGCAGGAGAATAGCTTAAATCCAAGAGATGGAGTTTGCAGAGCTGAGATCACACCATTGCACTCCAGCCTAGGCAACAAGAGTGAAACTCCGCCCCCCCAAAAAAGAAAAAAAAGAAAAAAAAAAAAACAAGGAAAGAAAATAGGAAAATAGAAAGATGCACTGGTACTGACAATTGAGGAGTCCCCTGCTAGGTGCCTACCTAAAATCCTTTAATGAAGCTCTGTAATTAATACCCCCCACACATACAGATAGAGCTTTCAATCAACTTTTAATGCCTCATTGTTTCGTTTTCTTTAATATGGGGTCTCATTATACTGCCCAGACTGATCTTGAACTCCTGGACCCAAGCAATCCTCCTGCCTCAGCCTCCCAAGTATCTGGGATTACATATACACACCACCATGCCTGGCTCTACTCTGTAATATACATAAACATTTATACCAAAGATTATTGGATATTTGATGAAAGCCTCTAATGAAACACACAAAGCAAAGTAAACAAGGGAGAAGTCAGAGAAAATAGAGAAAACAGGGAGCAGGAAATACTTCCCAAATTTATAATACATATGAAAACTCGTATTAATAGCCTCGGAGGCAGGAGAATCACCTGAACCCAAGAGGCAGAGGTTGAAGTGAGCAGAGATCATGCCATTGCACTCCAGCCTGGGTGACATAGGAAGACTCTGTCCCAAAAAAATTAAAATAAAAAATAAAAAGTTTTTTTAAAAAAGGTCAGAGGAAAATGGGAAAAAGATTGGGTCCATGGAAAAAGGACAGGAAGCTCCAAAAAGGGAACATTTAGGGAATAACAAGAAAAAGAGCTCTTAAAAATTAAAAACTATCAGTCAAAAAGTGTTTAAGTCAATAAAAGGACTGGAAGTTGAGAACACGAGTAAAAGGACTGGACGTTTGGCTGGGTGTGGTGGCTCACACTTATAATCCACCTGTAATCCCAGCACTTTGGGAGGCTGACGCGGGTGGATCATGAAGTCAGGAGATCGAGACCACCGTGGTCAACATGGTGAAACGCCGTCTCTACTAAAAATACAAAAATTAGCCAGGTGTGGT